AAGTGCAAACGCAGAAAAGTTTCAAAGGGGTTTTAACTTTTGTAAAATATTTGCTTATATCATCGTAAGAATATGATTCCCTAAAGAAAAATAATATTAGACGAGATGACAGATGTAATGTAGTATCGTACTTCAACACAGTGTAAAAGCCAAATGCAATTTGTGGCACCTGTTCTTAGATTGCATTATTGCAATGTGATAATGCGACTCTTAGAGAACAACGTGTAGCTCAGCTCTCAGCTGGAAGAGAGCTGCCCAGGAGTATTCCGTCAGCCCGAGTTCGATTCCTCCCGGACTAAAGGTTCTCTCACAACTTCTCTATCATCTGTGTATATATGCTATATCCCCATAATTTTTCTTTCTATATAAAAAGATAATGCAACTCTTAGATATTTCTCTTTGTTCACAAATATAAATGATCTGTCCATAAACCTAAGAGATCTTGAGATCTCAAGGAGAAAAATCTCAATCATGCATTTAATCTCTTAACATGTCACTTCATTTTGTACTTTTTCTATGTTAAATTTGCCGAAAGTACAACAAACATCACCTCAATTGTACCTTTTGTTACTATCTCAATTTTTTCCAAAAATGATAAAATCCCTTATTATTGTGAATGAAGAGAGTAGCTATATATACATATCATAATGCTTACATGAATATCATAATTAATACATTTGTTTTTTAAATATATGATGATGCTGATTTTTAAATACGATGTTTAATCACTCCTCTTATTAAAATTATATGTAAGTAATTTTTTTATAACTTGTTTTATTATTAAATGTACTTTAAATATGTCAAGGTTATAGATAAGGCATACTCCATGATCTTGTGTTGAACTTAGCGGGACCCACCGTATACCAAGTCTTATACAAAATTATACCTCATATGCAGAAAGTGTTTTGGATAAGAAAGGAAAGACAGAGTTCAAGTTAGAAACTAAAATGACTACTCGAATCGTATCCATATTTGTCTTCCCTAGTTCTACCTGCAAAAGGGAATATCTGCGGTGTAAATGCAAGACCCCCTAGGAACCTAGGAGGAGATGGGAGAGGCTCAGTCAGAATAGACACCAATACACACCGTCAACATCGACATCAGAGATAGGCTAGACATACCCAATTTGCAGCCATAGAGGCCAACAAGAGGGATCTAGCGCTATCTCTGATCACGCCGAGTTTATATTCGAGAAAGAAAACTACCCTATCATTGACTACGTGTGGTGTTCTATGCCGCGAAGTTGACAACGACTATATTAGGTTCCACTATATATTGTACTCGTGTGATTCTGATATCATATATATGAGAGCAACATCGGCTTCGGCCAACAGGAGTAGGGCTATTACCTAACAGATAAGGGGTCATCCTTATCTTCGTCTCTTTTACCTCGATTTACAAATACTCTGGCACAAATAATTCCCATACTCTGCAAATACCGTAGTCGCGATCTACTCCGTTGACAAAATATGACTTTTGAGACAAATGCTCCAGTTTAAAAATAATTTCTTTTTAAAGACGAAGTGAACATTTCATGTTATGTGGTTTTCTAGTGCTCAATATATCGAATCATTTAAAAATTTATTACAATGACCGATGGCAGAAAGGTTTGACCACACACCCTTTCCGTGGTAGCTAAAATAGTCATTTTTTCTCACACATTCCGTGGAAAGACCCATTATCTATTCGCAAGAAATACCAATATACAACTCACCACAAATTCATATTGCTGATCTCACAGTCATCCTCATGACGCATAATTCCTTTTCATATGTTTTTCCTATGAATTATTTAGTAATTAAAATCCAAGGCTAGTCCATAATAACATAAAGATTGCACGTGTTTTTTTACAGTTCCTGTGAATACCATTGGACTTTTAAAAAGACTAGCATGAAGCAACCATTGTTTGGACGTCAACAATATCCAGTACTAATGTCTTTCTCACCCTCAACACAAATCCACATCAAACCACAATCAAGTGCTACGTACAGTAACATGTACGCCACCTAGCTAGGCTAGCTAACCGATGGTGGGGGCAAAAAATAGTTGATGCAACATTAAAAATTCCAAAATAAATTATGGATGTGTCACTCGAAGCTTGAAAAGGCCTGCAGAAATTCAATTTTGCATCCGTTCTATATTTTAAGATGAAAAACATGGGTATAGTCAGAGGAATAGACGAATGTCAAAAAAAAAAAGGGTTTAGTAGCCCGTCCAACACAACGTTGGAAAAAACCGAAAGAAGAGGGGTGAGTAAAAATGAATGTGGAAGGAGCTTTTTTGAAAAATGAAAATAAAGGGATGGTAATGAGAAATGAGAAGGGAGAATCTATGGCGGCTGCTGTTCAGGTTTACAGTGGGATCAGGGATGCGACGAGCGTAGAAATCCTCGATGTAAACGGGTGGTAGGGTTGGGGGCAGAGTTGGTAATAGAGACTAAGGTGGTGTTTGGATCTAGGGACTTAACTTTAATCTTTGTACTTAGACACTAATTTAGAGTATTAAATATAGACTACTTACAAAACTAATTACATAAATGAAAGCTAATTTGTGAGACAAATTTTTAAGCCTAATTAATCCATAATTAGAGAATGTTTACTGTAGCATCACATAGACTAATCATGGATTAATTAGGCTTAATAGATTCGTCTCGTGAATTAGTCCAAGATTATGGATGGGTTTTATTAATAGTCTACGTTTAATATTTATAATTAGTATCCAAACATCCGATGTGATAGGGACTTAAAAGTTTTAATCCCATCTAAAAAGGGTCTGATTCCTTGGAGATTATCAAGATAGTGAAACATAGGGAGATTAATAGGTCGGTCCATGGATTGATGATCCAAGATCTCAAAGCCGTATTGATGAACTTTCAGATTTTGAAGCTAAGATGGTTCGTCGTTCGACAAACATAGTATTCCACATACTGAGCTTTAGTCTCTTGGATTTTATTTTTACTAGTAAACGATTGTAAGAGTCTACGAGTAGTTTTGATGTGTTGCCAAAAAAAATAAAAAATTAAGAAACGATAAACCACGGCACTTCATCATGCGTCGCACGGCAGTACCCATTGTTTTAAAATCTTGACACATAATCGGAAATTGATTCTTTTTTCTTTTGCAGATTTACACACAGCTCCTTTCCGCTACATCCAAGACTTATTTCAGACCTTTTGAAAATGGCACGTTAAGTGATAACTCCTTTTCTTGAAAAATAGATGTTCGCTATAATACGTTTTATAGAGACATTGTATCCCCTCAGCACAAATATTTTCTTTCATTCTTGTACATTCTGTTTTTCCTTTTCATGCCAGAAGCAGGGTAGGTTTGCGGGCTTTGTAAGGCCTGCTAAATCACAATTGGTGTTATATTTTATTACTATTATTACTTTACTTGTCCATACTATTTTATAAGTGGAATCGTTCTCGGGGAATAGTTTCTCAGATAAAAAAACCGTCTCAAAAACCATTCCCCAAAAACAGTTCTCCAAGCAAAAATCACACAAAAAAAGGATAGAAAAAAGTCCTAAACCCCACAATTCTAATCTTGTTGCAATGCATAAAAGACCACCCACTTAAAAAACCAGTGCTTTCACACAAAAATCTACTTTAGAAACAAGACAAAAATAATATCAAATCTCATAATTTCAGTTCCATTGTAACGCATGGACAAGACTAGTGAGTAAAAAATAAAGGGAGTAGCTATATTTATGGCGTCATATTTTTCACAAAAAAACAGTAGGCATGTATTTATTTATTTACATTGTAAGTCCCTAAATTACATATATAATTTTAGTATATTTACAATGTAAGTTCTAAAATTACATATGTAATTCCTAAATTGCATGTGTAAATCACAAAATTACATGCTAATTACATATGTAAGTGGTGTAAGTGGGGTGTAAGTAGTATGTAAGTTTTGTTTCAATTAGCGGTGGACGCGTGATGTTTATGACAAGGAGGTTCTAAGCTCGATTTCTTGTGCTTGCATGAGGTTTGATTTTGTTCCTCCCATACTCTAGCACGAATCACAACACCGATCTGATGGACAAAAGATCGACAGATTTGTTGAGAAAAAACTGTCGCCACATTTTTAGCTTTTCTGAAAATAAACTACTACTACTATATAGTAAGAAGGCTGAATTTTTAGTGGCACAAAAAAGAGGAATATCATTAACAAGTGACTAATTAACTATTAACCATTATAAATGTGAAAAGGATTTATTTTATTTTTCAAGAAATATATATATATATATATATATATATATATATATATATATATATATATATATATATATATATATATATTCACAAAATGTATCGTTTAACATTTTAAGAAACGTGCCAATAATAAATGAGGGAGTTGCTCATCCAAGTTGCTGAATCAAATTAACTCTAACATAGCAGCTATGTTCTTTTGGAACGCTGGGAACCTAGATTAATTAAGTATTATTACTTAAAAAACTTAAAAATCAATTAATAAGATCTTTTAAAACCTTTTTTTTATATAATTCGTTTAAAATATATATATTTAGTAGTTTGTGAAATGTGTGCTCCAAGCAGATGAGAAGTAGGGAAAGTTACAACGCAGCCTAACGTGGGATAGCGGGCTGCACGCTTACATCCCTACGTGAGGGAGGTTTTAGTATAAATTTCGCATTTCATGATCGATTTATATAAAAATTAATTAATTTAATACTCTCCCCGTTTTAAAATATTTGACACCGTTAACTTTTTAGCACATATTTAACCGTTTATCTTATTAACAAAATTTATAAAATATGTAAGACTATACGTGTACATAAAAGTATATTTAACAATGAATCAAATGATATGAAAAGAATAAATAATTACTTAAATTTTTTAAATAAGACGAATGGTCAAATACGTACTTAAAAAGTCGTGTCAAACGGAGGGACTTGAGTTGTAGTAAGGGCTGTCCCCCTCCTCCAGGCCCGCTGCGCTGAGGCGCTGAGCTGAGGATTGCCTATTTAAAAGCCCTCACCTCGAGTGCTCCTCACATCCCCATTGCAGAACCTCTCTCCCTTCTTGGTTCTTCTTCTCATCTCCTCCCACTCCAGCTCTGCCCCTGAGCCAAGAACTGAGCAGCAGAGAGCTCGTGGTCTCTTTGCCAGCTTCTCCTCAGTCCTCACCAAGCTGTTCTTGCAGAGAAAACATAGCCAAAGAGCTAATTTGAGCTCCCACCATGAAGTACGTGCTGGTGACAGGAGGGGTGGTGAGCGGCCTCGGCAAGGGCGTGACCGCGAGCAGCATCGGCGTCGTGCTCAAGGCCTGCGGGCTCCGCGTCACCACCATCAAGATTGGTTAGCCATTGGTTCTTCTCCCCCTCCGTTTCGTTCATGCCCCGTCTTTTTTTTTGGGGGCATTTCTGGCGCGAGAATGGCCCGCCGCGAGCGTAGAAACCAACAAGGGCGGATTTATTTTCTTTTTCCCCGCGGAAAAGTTTGGATTTTTACGCCTTCCCTCGTCTCGATTGAAATTTGGAACCCACAGGGTTCAGAAAGGAATAGTACTACTACCTTGTTTTTGTCGTTGCAGTTGTGGAGCAAGTGTTGTTTTTGGGGAAAAGGAAGCAGCAGCATTCCCGAATACTTTGGGCGCTGTCTCCTGTCTGTGGCCGCGTGGCAACTGCCAGAGTGAACACGTTTGGTTGCTGGCGAGCTTATACATCGTGATGTTAATTAAGCTGGAAATTTTTCTACAAATTAAGCTGAAATTTGTCTAAAATATTATGCTGAAATAAAATGGGCTCAACGAGCGGCTTTGTGCAATGTTTGAGCTTTGAAGCTTTGATGTTCTTCCGACATGGCTGCTATGCACAACACAAGTGCATTTGGATGAACACTCACTCGTTTGTCTGTCAACACATTAAGCTTTTGCTTCTCTGTTCGTTATACATGGGTTCTTAGTTCTTACAGTTGTCTATTTCGCGCCATTTTAGCATTTCTTTGTCACTGCCTCTTGTTTTGAGCTACAGACGAGTTAATTATCGGCCGCTTGTACTTAATGTATATCTATTTTTGTTCTGTACATGTGAGCAGACAATCCTGAGTTTTCTACTCATCTGCATCACTATGTTAAACTTTGCATTTCCCCCCTAATTATATGCTTTTGGTGACTCAAGTTTTTCTCGGTGTTTCCATCCACTTTCTGCTCATTAAATATTTGTTTTTTTAGATTTTGGTTACTCGTTATTGTCTTGATGAAGTGGATATCTGATCTTGAGTTGGTGTCACAATCTTAGTTCCTTCAAAGAGACGAAATCTGAAGTTGTTGAAAGCAAGTTTGTCATCTCATCCATTTTTCCTGTAGCGTTTTTGAAGGAAGATATTCGTTTCTTTTCATTAAAACCGATATGTAACATATATTTTTGAGAAAACAATGGCTGAACCATCAACTTCTCCCATACCTCTAACACACTGAAGAAACCATTTACTCCGTACAAGATTTAGCTGCAAGGTCTTTATAGTACAAGAAGTTGGTGAACGCACTGAAGAAACCATTTAGTTCTCTAACTTCTGTTTCCTGAAGAGTCAATTAGTACCCCCTGCTCTCAATTTCTTACCTATTCTCATTTATGGCTACCCATCTGCAGACCCATACCTCAACACTGATGCTGGAACCATGTCTCCGTTCGAGCATGGTGAGGTCTTCGTTTTGGACGATGGTGGAGAGGTAACTAACTACAAGCCACCCAACGTCTCCCATTTTTGTGCCTCTCTTACCAGAAATTCCATGCTGTTGATGGATGACCATGGCAGTTTTCTGAACATATTTTCTTGTTGCACAGTTCCCATGCTTATTAAAAATGGGTTTTATGGATGTGATCTCTTTGGATAATTGGACTTTCTTTCCTCTTCTTTCTTGAAGGTGGACTTGGACCTTGGAAATTACGAACGTTTTCTGGACATCAAATTGACCCGTGATAACAACATAACCACGGGAAAAATATATCAGGTAACTGAATCTGATAGCCCTTGTCCATGCACAGTCGACAATTCTAATGAACATTGTGTAATCAAGTCAAAAAGTTTTGGTTTGTACTTCCTTTCTTAAGAAGCAGGAGAAAAGTTTTCCCCTTTTTTATACTAAAAAAATTGACAATAAGAAACCAGCATGGTTCATGGGTACCCGCCAGTTATATTGAACGTTTGATTGACTGAATGTGCATGGAGCCCACAAATCTTTATTGAGTCACTTTATGTTTCATCGTAAGATCCACTGCAGTACAATTATGCATGTGCAGAATCATCTGGGCCTCAGTCTGCCACTGTTGTCGGAAGCTACTGATAAGATTCAACCTGTCACATGGTGCTTAATTGTAGAGCCGATGCTTTGTTGGCTGCTTCTGTCATTTGCCAATAAATAATCTTTCTTCTACTGGTTACCTGAATTTTGTACAGGATGAAGATTAGACTAGGTAACTAGGTCTACAACAGTAAAAATACTGTTGAAACCCACCCTAGTAGCAGTTAGCTGTGTTGTTACCATGTAAGTTAGAGTAAATGTAATACAGCTCTTTTGATACGGTTTTTATGTGATTTTTTGTTGATGGTGCCTGTGAAATTCCTTTTTAACATCAACTCTAGCTGCTGATTTCATCCTCTGGAAGTTAATGGCATTTTTTTTAATGCTCAAACCAGTCAGTCATTAACAAAGAAAGGAGAGGAGACTACTTGGGGAAAACCATTCAGGTGTGTGACCAGTATGTGGTGGGAAGCTTTAATGTGAGAAATATCTATGTTTATTACTTAATTTGTCCATATTTTCCTTTTCAGGTTGTGCCACATATTACAGATGAAATTCAAGATTGGATTGAACGTGTAGCGATGAATCCGGTCGATGGTAAAGAAGGACCTCCTGATGTTTGTGTCATAGAACTTGGTGGCACCATAGGTAAAGAAAAAAACAATTCTATCTACTAAATCTGAAATCACAAAATCTTGTACTTCAAACACTCTAGTGTAGTTTATTTCTGCTCAAATGTTCCCAAAGTTGTGTAAGTATGCCGCTGCAGGGGACAAAATCTTTTCGTCGCATAATGACAGTGGCATTCTTGATGCAGGGGATATTGAATCAATGCCCTTTATTGAAGCATTAGGTCAATTTTCCTACCGTGTTGGTGAGAAAACAACTAAATCTTGCCTATATGTTTATTATGGTCTCGGTTTAGTTTCAGTTAACATTTTTCCTACGTCATTCTATGTTGTAGGACCTGGAAACTTCTGTCTGGTCCATGTCAGTCTTGTTCCAGTTTTAAATGTAGTTGGTGAACAGGTAAGTTCTGCTTATCTGAAACAACGAGACATATCAAACATATGAGAGGTTATAATATTTGCAGTTTATTAGGGTTCATGACACGTTTTTAATTATATTAAAAAACATACTTCCTGTTTCCTGTTAAGGATGGTGGTTGTGAGATTTTCAGTTAGTTGACCTTTTCTTTTTTTTTTTCTTTTCTTGGTTGATCTACATCTGGTTGGCTTGTAGATGGCTGTTTTCTCTAAACTCTAGTTTCTGAAAGTAACAATTTGCCTGAATTATAAAGTCTTAATCTTACCTACAGTTGTTTTCACAGAGTTGCTTCTTTTTTTAAAAAAAAAAAAAGAGGTGGCAAAAAGTAGAAACATAAACAAAAGAACTTTCAATGTACTGAAGTGTTGTTGAGCCTTTCAAAATAGTGTAACTGTTATGTGAACTCGCTGCAGTGTGATGTTCTCTTGCAAATGATGATTTTTTTTTCTCATGTAGAAAACTAAACCTACCCAGCATAGTGTTCGTGGGCTAAGAGGCCTTGGATTGGCACCTGACATTTTAGCATGTCGCAGTACCGAGGTACATTATCTAGTCATTTTTTTTTCATTCGTCAGAGCATTCAGTGGTTCATTTCCTTTTGTCCCAAAAATTGTTATATTGATCATCTCAATGCTTTTGACAGCCACTGGAAGAAAACGTGAAAGCAAAGCTCTCACAATTTTGTCACGTTCCAGTAAGGATAATTCTTGCGGTTTCAAGGTTTCTTTTAGGTTTTATGTCTTAACTTCATGCTGACAATGCAACTTATGTTGCAGGTCTCAAGTATTATTAATCTCCATGACGTTACAAACATTTGGCACATCCCCTTGTTGCTAAGGGTATAATACGCCTATGTTGCAATGCATATATTCAAGTTTTGCATGTTGCATATTTAATCATCTGCAATGGATCTTGTAGGACCAAAGGGCCCATGAAGCTATTCTGAAAGTTCTAGACCTTCAATTGTATGTATTTTCCATGGTTATGTAATAAGTTCATTCATCAGTTCAATGCCTCAAAAAGAAATTCTGATGGCTTCCTTCGTTCATGTATGCAGTGTCGGTAAAGTACCACGAGAACCCAAGTTGGTTGAATGGACCGAAAGAGCCAGCAAGTTTGACAAGTTGAAGGCTACGGTATATATATATTTATTTGTTCACTTCATGTTATTATTGTTGTTATTGGGGTCTTAGTAGAGTTTTACCACTTAGTTTTTTTTTTGTCAAAATTTTTGTTGAAAACTGATCATTACTGTGCAATGTTCCAGGTTAAGATTGCGATGGTTGGAAAATATACTGGGCTGTCCGATTCCTACCTGTCTGTTCTAAAGGTCAAGTTACTAATAAATGCACTTGTATTTGCATCCAAGATCAGCATGATTCTTAATTTGAATTTTCTAGATGATAACTAGATAGACATGACTCGACACTTGATTACAAATAGTAAAACGATACTAAGCTAAAAGCATTTAAGTTTATTTAGATTGTATGCCTTTCCAATTCTTTAATTGTGATGTGAACTTATAACTTCATTGTAGGCATGTGCAGGTATTATAAATCATACATGCATGTCTTAAATGTTCAGCTGAATATGTGAGGTTACAAATATATGACAATATTGACTGTTCTTGTTCACTGATTTATCTTAATGACCCTTATTTCAGGCACTTTTGCATGCATCGGTTGCTATGGGAAGAAAGCTTGTAGTGGAGTGGGTTCCTTCCTGTGATCTTGAAGATTCTGCAGCCAAAGAGGTTAGTGCGGTTTGGACTTCAGTGATTTTGTTTTCCTCAATGTAGTTCCTACTAATGTCTTGGATATGTTTATTTGTACAGACCCCTGAAGCCCATAAAAAAGCATGGAAGCTACTCAAGGTTAACACAGTTTACATACTCGAATGGCCCCTTGAATTTTTGATAAGTTATGCTCAGCCATTTGAAGAAAATTTACATTTCAGGGTGCAGAGGGTATACTTGTCCCTGGAGGCTTTGGAGATAGAGGTGTTCAGGGAAAAATTCTTGCTGCAAAATATGCACGAGAAAATAATGTTCCTTATCTCGGCATTTGCTTGGGTATGCAAATTGCAGTGATTGATTTTGCCTGTTCTATCATGAAATTACCGGGTGCAAATAGCACAGAGTTTGACCCAGATACAATGTCACCCTGCGTCATTTTCATGCCAGAGGTAGATTACATTCCCTTTACAGTTTTGGTAACTATTACTATCTATTAAGCATCAGCATTGATCCATATAATTTGCATAACTATTACGTAGGGTTCCAAAACCCATATGGGGGCAACTATGCGGCTTGGATCAAGGAGAACATATTTCCATGCCACTGCATGCAAATCTGCAAAGCTGTAAGATAATAATCCTGGACTTCTTTGCTTGTGTTTTGTATATTGTGCATTTGATGTTTACTATGGATAAATAATGGGATGCATTATCTTAGGTATGGTAATGCTAGATTCGTAGACGAAAGACATCGACACAGATATGAGGTTAGCCAAACAAAAAAAATTCATTCATAGATCATTCCATGTTCCCATTCTTCACTGTATAACAGTGAAGACTTCACTGTTTTTCAGGTAAATCCTGAAATGGTACCAGAGTTTGAGAAGGCCGGACTTTCATTTGTTGGCAAGGATGAGAGTGGAAGACGCATGGAGGTAGAATTGGAAAACAGTTGCTTCAATCTTCACAAAAAGTCTATGCAAAAACATTTTGTATTACTTAACATATGATGCTCTACTCTATGCAGATTATTGAACTACCCAGTCATAAATTTTTCATTGGAGTACAGTTCCATCCTGAATTCAAGTCAAGACCAGGGAAGCCATCTCCACTTTTCTTAGGTAATGCAGTTTTACTCAGACAAATATTCTGATGCTTCTGCTTGCATCTACTGTGTTATGACATCAATTTGTATGAGGATGAAGCTGATGAATGATCGATTTATTTATAGGAAAGAATAAACGTTACATATTATAAACCTAACAAATAGCTTAGAATAAGTGGTCTAAGCAATGTGAATACAAAGTTTTTGGAGACATTGTAATTTTGGAAGCATGGCAAGGATAATCGCAAATAATCTCAGCCAGAACGGGGTCTTAACCTCTACTATGATGCTTGTGTAGTGATGTACCAAATATGGCCAAGGAACATTGTTTTCAGTTTCATATTCACTGCGGTTGTTCATTTCGATTCTCCATGATTGACTTTATTCTGTATATGAAAGGTGCAGGCAAAAGCTCCTCCTTTTTGAACTAACATTGCATCTCTGCTAACAGGATTAATAGCAGCAGCATCTGGACAACTAGAAACTTTGCTCCAACCAAGTTCCAACATTGTCAATCCAAATCCTATGCCCAGATTTCCCATTCCCAAAAAGACGATTTACCATGCCAAGAAGCCACTGGACAGCTTGGTAAACGGATACTTTGCAAATGGCAACGTCATCCACACTTGATTAGCAGTTGTGCAAATCCTAAGCGAGGCCTTGTTTGAGATTTGTTTCTACGGTTTTCTGCTTGAACCCTAATCTTTTCTTCTTCTTCGTTTTCGTGTTTTTTTTTTGGCTTTGTATTTGTCTCTGCTCAACTGAGAAGGCTAAGAGTTGCAAGCTCCAGATACACGGTTCCCATGTTTTAAGAGGAAACGTCCTCCGGTCATGTTGAAGCAAAGTTTAGCTATAGGGTGGTGTAGTGTGCTGTTTATTTCCTGCTGAGGCCTCAATTAAGGCTGGAAATGTATTGGTAGCTTTAGTATAGCCTGGCATCTCAACTATTTGTACATTGGGAAAAAAACCTACCTAAGTACTGAATATACAAATGCTTGGCCAAGATTGCTTACTTCAATGAAGAGTTGGGCATCTCTGTATCCTTTTCTTTTAACAGCAGGCGATCTGAGACATGAATATGCTAAGTACTACCTCTGTCGATTATGGGGATGCACCTGGATATTATCTGGATACAATACGTTCCAAAATCCCTTATATTTTAGACGGCAATACTAATATTTTAGGACAATCGTTTCTCACTGTGCATGGCCTATTGCATGGTTTCCCAGGGTGATTTTTGATGCAGTTGCCTATTTAATGAATCGACACGCTATTGTAATGTAGTGATAGATTGGTGCGATTAGTTGAAGTGTGACGTAGTTTTAGGCAAAAATGTCAAGTAAAACTGTAAATGTACTCCCTCTGTTCCCAGTATTAGATGATGTCTACTCTGATATAGTACTACTAGGTTTAGATTCGTAGTAATAGGTAGTGTCTAATCGGTTACTATGGCTGTGTTTAGATTCCTACTTAGGGTGTGTTTGGTTCCAAAGTTTTTTTCCAAACTTCCAACTTTCCATCACATCAAACCTTTTATACACACACAACTTTTCAGTCACATCGTCTCCAATTTCAACCAAATTCTAAACTTTGGGCCAATCTAAACACAGCCTTATTTCTTCAAACTTCCAATTTTTCCATCACATCAAATGTTTAGACATATGCATGAAGCATTAAATGTGGAAGAAAAAAAACCAATTGCACAGTTTGCATGTAAATTGCGAGACGAATCTTTTAAACCTAATTACGCCATGATTAGCCATAAGTGCTACAGTAACCCACATTTACTAATTATGGATTAATTAGGCTCAAAAGATTCGTCTCGCAGTTGACAGTCCAAATCTGTAATTTGTTTTGTTATTAGTCTACGTTTAATACTTCAAATGTGTGTCAAATACGTCAAAAAAAATTTGGCACCGAACTAAACATGGCCTATATTTTGGGATGGAGATGGAGAGAGTACACTTATTTTCCTATTGTTTAAAATTTAAACATTTGCCTAGTTGATCAGAAAGATATGCCTGCAATGACGATTTGTTCTCTAAATAAAGTGCACCAAATTTAGAATCATGACAATAACAGTTTGACATGTTCACTACCAAAATCAAACAGATCTCCACCGAAACATGTTGAGATCAATTGAAATTTGATATTCCCGTTTTAACTTACAACAGTGAGGTGCATACCCACAAACCCACTCATATCTTGGGTCAAAATATTCTACAAGCATGAGGGCTCGGGAATTGTCTAAATTTTAATCATAAACTCACTAAAGTTAAGGCCACTTTGTTCTGTAACAATGCTGGCCTGCAATTTTGTCAGGAGACCAGGAGAGCATCCGTCTTACATATTACCAGTATTGTGTATGATCTCATACAGTTGATCAGATCTATGGTATTATGATAAGATAAACTCAAAAAAAAAAAAGAGACATTTCCATATAAAGGAGTTATACAAAGCCATAATATAGTGTCATGGAATACAGGGTTCTTGAGAACAAAACAATGGACAAGATCGTCCACAAAAAGCGGCAAACCTTAAGAATATTGCGCTGCTGTCTCCGAGTAAACCAAGAAAAGTAGCTTAACATAGTCTCCAAAATCGCTTCCCCGTCAAGAAAGTACACCTGCAGCGTTTCATGGTTAGGTGCTAAAAAAAGTACTATACTGTGCACGCAGTATGTTACTTTAATGCAGTGTAAATTTAAGCCAGGTGCTACAAAATCGAAGTGACTTCAGAAAAGAAGAGCATAGAAAGCTAAAGCATTCTGTAACCAATTGATTTGTATATGTTGGGGTTTCAGAAGAATACAAGGAGGAGCTTAAGCAAATAGCAACAACAATAGGCCAAACGGCAGGTTTCTAGCAAATATCAGTACTTCAAGGGTTTCAGCTTTCAACTTTCAACTATCATATCATGCATGTTTTTACTTTTCTCAAATTATTTGCCAAATTCCTTTGCTGCAAAGAATAAGATAAAAAAAGAAGGAAATCCTACATGTAGGGCAATGTCATGAGGCACTGAGGCATGATGTGAGAATGTAAGATGAACAATAAAGAATGAAACTTCAATAGAGAACATACTGGTAAGCAATTGACTACAGCCAATGCTGCAGACACACGAAATAAACAACTTAAACCATCTTGCAAGATACGAGGAACATCTGCAATGAAAAGCAAGAGAGGCCATCGAGGTCGGTAAGAGGATAACTTAATAGAATGTGCTGCTGATAACAGATCACCCGCATAAACAAAAGTTCCCTGGCAAGGACCCAATCCAGGGTTATTATTTCCATCATGCAGCAATGATGAGTTCCTTTCTTTCTGTAAGCACTCCAAAGAATAAGGTCTGGCATAAGAGATCTCTATCCATGAAATCCCAGGGCCTAGAACAGGCACCAAACAGTACTCATCCTGTCAGAATCGATCAAAAAATGTATAAATAAGAGAAAGGTAATGCAAAAGGATAAGCGATACTATAATAAGGAACCAATCCTCCAGGATTATTCCTAAGGGCTCTAATTCAGTGTTATTTTACCTCCAAACATGCAAAGTTGCTTCTGCCATCTTCGGCCCCCCGCCATCCATTTCCACATTTTTTAAGCTTGACAACATCTTTTGCAATCAAACAATATTTGTCTTCAACTTCCTTCTTGCCAATACCTTTCTCACTCATTCTTTGAAAGGCTACCAGATCATCTGGGCAAGATAGCTTGTCATTTATCTGCCAAAGATTCTTGCTTGCATCCATCCATGAGTTGGGAACACAGTAACCCTTTCTAGAACCAGTGGCACGATAGCCTTCAGAGCCTTCAAGGAGATCACGGCTGCTTATTTGTACTACATTGTCCTGAGTAAGCATTTTCATCCATTCATCAGCTCTTGTTATGTTCAATCCATCCACAGAAAGGATAAAATTGTGAGCAGACAAGTATCCTGACAGAGGAGATGCTTCTGGGACTCCTGTAATCTGTTCTGACAGCCTTTTAGAACATGAAGGATCATGGAGATCTAAATAAGGACAAGTTCAAAGAAACAGACTTACCATAAGACCACCAGTCACAAAGAGAGGATACAGCACCACAGGTAGTAATAATGCCATGATGACACATACTCCACATAACTATTAGACATGAAATCATAAATAAACATCATTATGAATGAACGTGCTTACAAAAATATGATAAGAAGCTGCAGCAGTAATGCAGAACTGCCGAACTGGCATTTCTCAAATGTGCTCCTTTTTTTAATTCACAACTTCTGGTCTCTATAGGTTAGCATGCATGCCACAAATACTGAAAATAGATGGAAATGCGCTTTAAAATTAAAAGGAATAGAAATATATGGTCAAATAAAATCAAGATATTTTACTTCTTTTTTAAAAAAAAATAATCCATGCACGCCAGCGTTACTTACCATAACATTATGCCAAATCCCTGCACAATAAATCCGAAGCATAGAAAAAAGAGGTAAATTTTGCAGCTGGTCACAGTTCAGAGCAATTAATGCCCCAGGAAAAAGTGCAGCTACGAATACCGCAACATACTCAATCTGTATGCCCTCGCTGTTGCATATTTAGCAATGAATGTGTCAGCAATGTGCGAAAGGAATACTGTAAGCGGGTGAAAGTTAATATTGTAAGTCAACATATAAAGTATGCCTTCTGCAAATGAATGCAAACACATGCAGAACATCTCGTAGAAAATGTAGGTCAGCAAATAAGGACCTTGCAGCTGCAACAGCATGTCCAAATTCGTGAAAAGCAATAGAAAAAACTGTTGATGCTATGATTGCTGCGATGTCCATTATTGATATGCCAAAGCTGGAAGCCTGCAATAGATTAAGGGCATGCTGAATGGTTGATGTTAGAAGTTGAAAAATGAAGGGACAAATTGTAGTCACCAGTAGATTTTGTAGCCAGGTACTAAATGACCGACCACTGAAATAAACTGCACCAATTGAGTCCCACAATAGCATCTGAAACATGCAACAGACCACAGTACATAAACGTGCACATTTCAAGGCAAGTACAACATATGAAACTTTCCAAAATTTTAAAGAAAGGATGAAGACCACTACTATCCCAGTGATATCCTACACAGTTCATAAAAACAAATGTCGAGATTGATAGGGTGTGCTGGCTGTTCTAACGATTTAAGCAACAATGTCAACAGATTCATGATATAGGTAAGGTAATGAACATTTTTTAGTTGGCATACGTATTTCAGAGTATTGGTAATTATTCGACACTGAACTTACCACTGATATTCCAACTAAAGCAACAACAGAGAAATAAACCCCTGCAGAAAACCATGCTCTCATGTATCTGCCAAAAAGAAAGTTAACTAATTTACCATAACTTCAAATATCTTGGCATCAGCATAGTGAGCAGCAAGGAAACTATCAATATGGTTACCCCATCAGATTACACCTCCCCAAAGGGGCATGAGCTAAAACTTTCAGCAACAGCGAAGAAATTTAACTCCAAATGGTACAGATGGCTCCTAGAGTGCATTTTTTCTCATTCTTTTTAAAGAAAAGAAACCTTTGCATCTTATGTACAAAAATGAAATAAGGTGCTAACTTGGCTATATTCTTGTTTATAGTATGTAAAAGTCCATGGGTAATTATATAAATATATTCCTCTTTTCGCGGGGAAAAAGGGTACAATATGCACATCAAAGAAACACTGAGTAATTAAAGAAGATAAAAGGTCAAAAGTTAAGATAAAGCATACCTAGCATATCTCCATCCCAAATTAAATATGATGTCATTGAAGGAATATATTTTGCAGTCACAGTACCTAAATTTTGTATAAGCACAGTAAGTGAATATAATAATCATTGCCTCCACTAATACAAAATGACAGGAGTAAACTGCATTGAAATATACAAGAAATTGAAGAATAAATGAAAGATAAAATACGTGTCCAACATCTCATGCAGTACTATATAGAGTCGAATGCAATTTTTCCATGATAAGCTGATAAGCAGATTTAAAAGGAACAGAGAAACTTGTTGTCCTGAAAATTAAAACCATTCTGCGGATGGCTAGATGCAGGGGAGACAATTCAATTTATCAGGATTAGGGCTGAGGATGAATGGTGTATCCCAACAGCAGGTCTGAACCAGTGAACCCAACAGGATACATCACTGAAATTTGGTAAATCGATACAACACACAAATCGAATTTTCACCAACTGTTGAAAGTGTACTACTAGAAGAATGGAAACTACAACATTGCCAACCCATGTTAAATTTCCAAATCAAGCTTTATAATTTCGCCTAACGGTTGCCCGCATCCTACAAGCTCTAAATCAAGCTCTGCTCTACAAGAAACCAATGTAAAAGTACTGGGAAAATAATTACGAAGAACGCAAGCATAGGCTCGATTTAGCCGCGACTTAGGGTTTGGTGAGGGTAAGAAGCTAACTAGTACTACTAAAATCTGACTAGATCGAGCGGTTTTGAGTCAGAATCTCTCTACTTCACTGACCAGCAAGAGACGGAGTGCTCGGCGCGGCGGGCGGCGGCGCTCGAGGGCAGAACTGGCGGCGCACGGCCACGCCGCCTGCTGCGGCCGACGCCGCCGATCATTCCAGCGGCGACGGCGACGGCTTGGACACGGCAAGTTTTGGGGGGGGGGGGGGGGGGGGATTAACTGCGCAGGGCGGAAATCTCAGCCGTCCGATTCAGATCGGAGGGTTCATATTAGCGATGGATTCCACTACGCCGACTGCTTTGGCTGATTGGCTCTCGCATTGTCACATTTAGCAAAGGAGCCCCTCCAATTTCACCAGATTTACATCTCCACCCTCCTCCTCCTCGTCTTCTTCCTTCCTCTTCCCATTCTGCTCGTCCGTCTCCGATTCGCAGCCACATCGACAGATCCAGCCGCGCCCCTGATCCAGTGGTAGCTCGAGCGAGGCTGCTATCACGGTGGAGGATTTTCGTCTGATTCGAGGAGGAATCGGTCGGGTCGAGCAGAGGAGCGGAAGAAGAAAGATTGGTCGGAAGGAGGAGAGAGGTGGGGATGATACTTCTCCAGTCGCCGTCCAGGTTCCTGCTCCAGATCCTGCAGGATCGCGTCCTCAGGTACGTCGCTGCGCGGCCGACCATCCCCTTTTCTTGATCCCGCTCGTCGCCCTTAGCTCATGCGGGTTTTGTGTGGTTTGCAGTGGCGACAAGGGCGTGGACATCGATTGCCACACGGTGGAATTCGACGATGTGCGGTATCATATCCAGGTAAGTAGTACCGTACTGCCGAATCTGGATATCCATTCTTGTGTGCCGCCTTAAGATTTAATGTTAAAATTGAGCTTGCTATCTATACATTGCTGCATGTGTAGAATGTGTTATGCTATGTTAAATATTTCGGTGCAGAGCTTCGTTCAGTTATTGGTATGTTGTATGCACGAAAATAATACCAGAAACACCTGAACTAAAGAACTGACCTGTTTTCTGGTGCTGAATTGCTCCACGATCTCATGCTATCCAAGTCATTGTTGCTACTGTGGTAATGAAATTGTTCTATAATAATTTGGTAAAATTGGCATCATATATTGGAGTGGATTGTATTTCACCTTCTAATCAAGATAATGAGGCTGCCCGCATATCTTTTGTATAAGCAGCCTTCCATAATATTGGTGATCATTTTCACTTATGAGCATATAATATTATACCTTGCTTGGAGGGTTCTGTATTTCACCTTTAATCAAGATAAACTCCTTAGAAGCTTAATTATCATATTTCCTTTTTCTTTTATGAATTTATTGAACTCTTGACATTACTTCATTATACATGTTTTGGGTGTTGGGATCAACTATTACCTGCTTCATATTTGATTTCCTAATGAATGCTGGTCTTTGGTTCCAGTTTTCTATGAGGAATCCAAAGGTAATGGTGCTATCAGTAGCATTGCCCCTCCCACCTCCTGAGGCCATGCTATATGATGGACTTCCACTTGGTGCTATCGAGGCAATAAAGGCAGCTTATGGACCAGTCGTTCAAATTCTTGATCCTCCAAAGGATGGCTTTGATCTCACAATGAAGATAAACTTGACAAAGCTTCCGCCAGATGAAGGTTCTAGAGTTCCCTTTCCAAGGTTACCATTGTCTTGTTGTGCTACATGATTGAATTAGATGATGGTTCTATGTACCTTGAGATGTCATCCATTGATAGAACTTTGGTGCAAGCTAATGGTTAGAAATGGATTCATCGTTTACAAATAGATGCTTTACGAAAATGTCAAATATGTTATGTATAGTGCATTTAATTATCATGGGCTTCTCAGACCATAAATTGGCTAATTGTAGAATCTTTTAGCTATATGGATTGATTTTGATGCCTTCTGTAAATGAAAGAGAAATGGAAGTCAGTAGGTTTTGGGCAGTCCATTGAACAAGTCCATTTCTTGTTGATAGAAGGAATTCTCATATTTCTGTTATACTGTCAGACTTCATATATTTGCTTGTAGATACTTGCACATATTCTTCCAAACATGGTAATGGATCAAATTACTGTTTGTGATTATTTATTTTGGTCAGGCCTATCAAAATCATGGAATCTCTATGTGTATCTTGTAACCATTATCCGGCTAACACTTTAATGTATTCCAGAGCAAAGGAATGCTGTCTTGACTCAAATTGCATCTGTGAGAGAGGTGGTGCTGGGTGCACCACTGAAACTTCTGCTGAAGCATCTAGCTTCAAAGACGGTGGCTCCTAATGTTGACAAGCTTGTTGCTCTTGTTCACCGTCCTAATGAATCCTTTTTCGTTGCTCCCCAGGTATAAATTTGAGAACTCCTATAAATGTATCTATCATACTTCAAAGCATAGTTTTCCTTTGGCAATGAACAGCTAGGTAGGTTCTTAGATATATCAATCTAGATTAATCTATTTAAGAGTTATGTATTTGACGTTTACTTTCAGTTCATACAGTCCATGAGATTAATTTCTTTTTCACAGGCAGACAAAGTTACAGTAGTATACCCTATGAGGTTCCAGGATTCCATTGATATAGTTTTAGCAACTTCCTTTCTGCAGGTATTTTGGACACTTCCTTCTTGTCTCTTTTATCTGCTTCAAGCAATTCATTTTCTAGTTTTTTTATGATCATTTATAGACATCTTCAACAAACCGATCTTTAGGCATTTAGCACTACTTTCATTAAGACTTGAACGGATATATGCCTTAACTTAATGGTTTTGTGAAAGTTTGTCTTGAGGCCATTTCTTGATGGCATAACCATATTATGAGAAGCAACTTATGGAAGGACACAATATGATGGGGCAGCTCTGCCTATTTTGTTTTAAACTTTTCTGGTTAAATCTAGGAATTTGTGGAAGCAAGGCGGACTAGCGCTCTTAACAACGCCCCTTCCTGCTTGTGGTCTCCAGTACCACCTCTTGAGTTAAAAGGAGTACCTTCTGATGCACTAAATGCAAATGCCGGTTTTGTTACTTTTGGTAATATGCATTTAAGCGTTTTCTTCTGTTTTTCTTTTCTATTGAAGACCCCTTTTTTGTCTCACTAACTCATCTTTATGCAGTTGTTTTCCCGCGGCATGTTGAGGGTAAAAAATTGGACAAAACAGTTTGGAGTTTGTTGACTTTTCATGCTTATGTAAGCTACCATGTGAAGGTAAGGTCCTTTTTTCTTATGTTGGCTGATCCATACTTCTCAATTAATCAAGTCCGTGCATCTGTCATCCATAATTGTGAATCAACCAATTGCATCCAATGCGCAGATTTTCCATCAATGGGTTAAATTTGGCTTAGTGAAGATGAAAATCCATTGTTTAATACTGAGCTCTACTGTTATGGACTATTTCCAAGAAGATAATATTCTTTTGGTTGCAAATGGCCCCAAGGAACACACTATTTGGATCTTTTGACCAGATTCCTGCCAAAATACCATCAAATTTTCCTAAGTCTATTCTGGGTGAATTTTTTTTCCAAAGATGAAAAATATCTGATTTGCCCAAGACAGCTGATATTGCTATTGCAGAAAGCCACCTTGGAACAAATTGGAACATTTTTCTTAAGCCACCTTCAGCATGGGATTTTAAGATTTTCATGATTCAGTAGTTGACACGGTACTTTATTGGGACATATTTTAACCTTGCCACAGTTCTCTTGTGCTCGCTTGTGAAACATTTCTCTTTGGCTTATATACATGATTTTTACTCTTCCATGACTTGTGGTTTTTAACTTCACAAGTTCTCAGTCCCTTCTGTTTCCTGTATGGCAGTGTTCTGAAGGATTCATGCACACCAGGATGAGACGTAGAGTTGAGACGCTGATCCAGGTAATACAAACATATCCGTACTAAATTGATTTCCTTCAATATATCCTATGGATTATTTGTTACCTTTATTCAGCACCTTTCGCTCTCAGCTTTGAGTGGTTGTGTAGCGGCAGATGCGGGTTTAGTATCATGAAACAAATAGACTACAAATCATTGCTGTTAATTTCAGTTTACTGGTTTTTCCTTGCTAAAAGGCTGAAAGCTGGTGATGCACCGAGACCACCTGAAATAAACTGATAGGCCATATCACTCCATGCCTTAAACTGAGTATATTTAGTGTGCTAGGAAATTGGTCATGACGGTTTTCGGGCTTTCAAAGAAACTAAATTACGATTGCTCGCATCTAATCGATAACTATTTGAGAGCTACTGCTATGATTCATGGAGGTATCATGGTATCATGTTGTGAAATAACATAGTGACTTGTCCCATGAAGAACAGCACTGCATAACTATTGTTTTGCTGATCGACCTTACGTGCAGGCTTTGGATCGTGCAAAATCTGATGCAGAGAAGTTGAAGAAGTTGGTGAATGGTGGATCTTTCAAAAGGCTGGTTTGTGCAAATACCTTGAATTCGTGCTTAAACCCATCTTTTCTTTCACTGATTAAGACTCTCCTCGCAGAGCTTGAATAATGACGGCAACTAGCGTCAGCGAAGATGCTGTCGGTGTGTCAGTAGAAGACCTTTTATATCCTGGGACCATAGAGCCGCAGCTGGTGAAACAGAATCAGCATCCGGCTGTTCATCGCTTGTTTCTTTTTTTCCGGGAGGATATTCTACCTTGCTGAATTGAGGGTGAGGAATAGATTAAACTGAATTGACCTTAGTGACTTGCGACACCATAACGGCGTATCACCTGAGGACGCTCATTTCTTGTTGGCCCTCCTACATCGATCCATCTTTCTACACTTCCTTCTATGTTTGTTGATTGATCCATCGGCCCAAGTCAGTCTAGGCTATTATGAGTTCGATTTTGTAAAATATTGTTTTCTATAGCCTGTCAGATGATTGTTATTTTCATTGTAGCTGTGCTGAAATGGAAACTCAAGAGCAGTTTTATTACATCATTATTGTTACAGGCTCACACACATGGTGCTCTTACAAACAGAAGAACACTCTAGGCGCACGTACAACAACAAAGTAGCAGCACCATTCTTTCTACCGCACGGTCTTCACGTGAACGATATCACGCGCCGGTCCCGGTGGCCCCGGCGTCGGCGCCGGCGCCGTGGCCGACCTGCTTGGCGTCGAAGGCGCGGTCGTCCACCTTGCGCGCGGCGGGCTCGTCGACCTTGTCCTGCACCTTGTCGATCTGGATGGCGCCCTGGTCCTCCCGCGAACGCAGGTCCGTGCGCGTGCGGTTCTCCCCGCCGCCCACCGACTCGTACGTCGTCGGCGTCGTCTCGCCCATCGGCTGCGCGCCCTGCGCCCCCGACATTGCTGCAAAAGGCTTGGCTCGGCTGCTGCTTCCTTCCTTTACGCTGAACTCTCGTAGTCTCGTGTGGCTGCTGAGGGTGACGCCTCGCCGGGAGAAGCGTATATATAGCCGGGCTGCGATGTCGCGCGGGAGGTGTGCTGCGTGCACGTGAGGAGGCGGCACGGCGGCGCGTGGCATGGGTCAGGAGGAACGTGGCGGGACACATCGGCGTCGGCCGCTGGACTCGTGTCGCGGCAGCGCAGCTCAGGCGACCGTGACGTACGATTTGGCCGGCGCCCAGTAGTCATGCAGCAGGATAAACATCACAACCCAAGGTCTGCACATCTGGGATAATGGCCGGCGTGCAGGATAAACCACCTGGCCTGGTTGTTATCCGGCGGGTGAGGGGTGAGAGCGCGTGCTGCCATTTGGGGCATACGACAATGAATAAAGCCACAATGGCACAATCCCAGCACGACAGCAAGTCGATAGGTATAGGCTGACGCGTTACAGTTTGGAAAAATCCTGTGAGTTCAGAAGATATCGTCCCCCTGCACGGCTGGCATGAGGGCTCTGCAAGGCTGAAAGATCATACGCTGCTGCTAGAAGCATTTACAGAAGCTTCACAGTTAAAACCTTACTTCAACCTCTTTACGACAACACAATTAAACTTCGAATTGTGCACCATGCTTCCTTCAGCCCAGATTCCAAGGTACGAATTATCAATCAAGAAATTATCAAACCATCCAAATGAGGAACATAGATAATTTTCCAGTCGGACGCTAACTGATAGGGATAAAACAACTATCAGCAATGACAGATTGTTCTATATATCCTTTATTTGGGAGGTCCCGTCTACGTGATATCAGCATCTATGGACTGCTTGGATCGACAACAATTTGTACCGATGCTGTAAATGTTCATTCAGTCCAGAATGAGAACTCGAATGGTAATGGTGATACAGCCAAAATGACTTTAAAAGAAGGGAAATGAAGCACTGAAGTTGGCAAGAGTATCTTGTAAAAAGCTCAGTTGGCTGCCAGTCTTGACCGGAGCTCCGCAGCAACCGCATCAATGAACTCTTCAGTGTTCAGGTAATGGCTTCTTGTGACGCTACAAGTCAAAAAGGAAAATAAATTAAACAGAATGAGTTCTTTTATCATAGCTACAAAACTTTGCAGAAAAACACAACTGAAGTGCATGAGGCAAAAACTGAAACAGCATAACATACTTTGAAGACCCGTGAATAAGAAGAGCAAGGTCTTTGGTCATCTTCCCAGATTCCACGGTTCCAACGCAAGCAGCTTCAAGTTTTAGTGCAAAGTCAAGAAGTCTAGCATTGTCGTCAAGCTTTGCCCTGCAGTGCACAAACAGTGCATTTGCCATGAGTTAATCATCCAACTCAGAGAGCCAGACCCAAGCATAGAACGACATGAGCTACTTCGCTATTTTCGGTATTTGGCGAAACAATAAGATGATGCTAATTCACCATATAGCTGACCAAAGATAATACTTCTAACAAATAATTCCAAGTGCTAGAGACATAAAGTAGGTAGGACTTGTACCTGTGTGCAAGTCCTCTGGTCCAAGCAAAGATTGAAGCAATGCTGTTTGTGCTGGTTTCACCTCCCTTCTGGTGAACACGGAAATGACGGGTAACCGTGCCATGGGCAGCTTCAGCTTCAATTGTTTTTCCATCAGGGCACACCTACATATTAAACAAAGTAGTGTCATATATATTAGGCAGGGTTCAACCAAAATTAAGGCTTTCCACTGTACAGAAGACAACACCCTAAAACAATATATTTAATATTTAGTCATGAACAATAAAGTAGAAGTAATATACATAGTTACATACCAATACTGATGTCATCAAACCCAATGAACCAAAGCCTGCACATTTATAGATCCAGTGAATTATTTAACAGTCAGCATCGTTTATCATGCAACTAGGAAAAAGGATAACATTTTTTGCCCATGAAATTCATGGTTCAGAAGTTAGCATATTCGTACCTTGAGCTAAGAAATCACTCTGCACATCTCCATCGTAATTCTTGCAAGCCCACACATAGCCCCCTTCACTCTTAAGTGCATAAGCAACCATGTCATCGATGAGACGATGCTCATACCTACCAGAAGTCAAGATCATGACACATGTGAGAAAAGCTTCTCAGAGAATTTTAAACAACAAAACAAGTTACCTACCATATTCCGGCAGCCTCAAACTTGGATTTCCACCCAGCTTCATAGACCTCCTGGAAAATATCCTTGAACCTGCATCATCAAAAAAATATTACACCAGTTATATATGTCACCTGAAAAGATTAGTCAGATACACAATCATAGCCTGGATACATAAACCAAGATTTGAATAAATAGTAGGTGCAAATGTGCAAAAATGTACTACCTTCCATCATATTTCTTCAGGATTGTGTTTTTGGTGCTAAGATAAAGCGGCCATTTCTTCTCATAAGCAGTTGTCATAGAAGCTTCAGCAAAAGCTCGGATTGACTATAAAACAGTTACAGGAATGGTCAGAAAAATACATTACTTTTCAACTAAAGAAAACTAAATATGGAGTTTACAGCACCTCATCAGTGTTGTACATAGACAAAGCAACTCCTCCAGCACCAGTGAAGTTGAACACCTCCAGATCAATCTGCTCATCCTTTCCCTCTGTAAGAACAGACAGATATAACGAGATCAAATTTTACTCATATCAGTTCAGTGAAGAACAAATAATAAAGTGTAGCCAAGCAACCATACCAAAAACCAGCTTGAGCTTGCCAGGCCCCTTCAGAACTGCATCAGTTGCTCGGTACTGATCACCAAAAGCATGCCTTCCAATGCAAATGGGCTTAGTCCATCCTGGTTTCATCAATGGTTCAATGTTACAGATGAACTTAGTTCATTCAATAAAGAATAGATTCATATCCTCTTAAATACCTGGAACAAGCCTTGGGACATTTTTGCATATAATTGGCTCTCTGAATACAGTGCCTGAAAGGTAAAACGAAAGCGAAATGTCAAAGGTAACAAGAAAGGGAAATGTCAACAGCCAATTTCTGTGTGTTATATCAAACTAATGGTACCAGCATACCATTGATAATATTCCTAATTGTGCCATTGGGGCTCTTCCACATTTGCTTTAGGTTGAACTCCTTAACCCGAGCCTCATCTGGAATAGTGTTGAAATAGAAAGAGATAAGAGTCAAATGAAGAATATATCTTTTTAGCTGCATAAGATAAAAGGCCACTTAATATATCTTTTACCTGGAGTAATCGTCGCACACTTAATAGCCACATTGTACCTGCACGGCATTTGATTAGAAAGATAAGAGATATACAAAAATAGTGAAACATACAAACGGTATAGTTGTACGATAAAAGTGTGTACTATTATAGCTACACATCCAGAAAGGTCCTACGAGTATCTACCACAATACACAAATTGTCGTTTACTAATAATTAAAGATGGACACACCAAACTAAATTCCACACAAATCAATGAAAACAGTGTGATCACAAATTGTCTTCTTAGCACGGACTTTAAAATATCTTAAATTCCTTACTTGAGAGTAGCCTCTGCAGCCTCCACGGTGACCTTGTCATCAGTTGCATCACGGTGGAGAACTCCCAAGTCATAGTACTTAATGTCCAGATCCAAAAATGGAAAGATAAGCTGAAATAAACAAGATTGTCAGCTTAATATATACAAGAGAAAAACAGGAAAAACACACAAAAAAATTAGCAAGTACATCAGATTAATCACAACACAGATAAGGAGATATATTCATTACCTTGTCCTTGATAGACTGCCAGAATATCCTGGTCATCTCATCACCTGGAGTAGGTGAATTACAAATCAGTTAGTTCCATAAGATGAAACAGAGGCTCACTGATATATTATGTGCAAATAATCTCTGACTCATTACAAACACAGTGCCGTATACCCTTAATTCCTGATATACTTATAAGTATGTGCAGTGTTTGCAACAATTTTTCATTAGAGATCTTCCCTTCGTTATATTTAAAAAACAAAGGAACAGTTCGGACGAGTCCTGATGATGTTTGGACATCAAACATGATCAATTGCATATGGAAATAGCCTCACAAAAGTACATAACCAATATCTAAACGACAACCAGAATTCTGGACTCCAAACCCACTATTCAAAATTTTCACATCATGCATCCAATTCACAATACTTTCGTCAGCTGCACATAGATCATCCATCGGGGCATCGCATATATGCATATATCTCTACATGCTTAAATCCGGCCTCTAACACGGCAGCAAATCGTCTCCCGCGTGTCCACAAACTAATACAGCGGCAGCTCGGCTCCACAGAGTGATTACGCGCTAAAATCCTACGCGCACGAACTCGACGCACCATCGCCTAGCCTAAACAAAAGCAACCTCGACGGGAAAACAACAGCGATTTGCCGGATCACGCGGATCTCTCCGCGACACCCACGAACCAAAAAATATCAAAACCCAGCGCATGCGAACGGCGCCTCGTCCGCGGGACAGATCTGCTGGTGCGGAGAGGGAAGCGGGGGATCTAACCGTCCATCTCGACGATGGGGTTGGCGACCTTGATCTTCTCGAACGCCATGGCGGCGGCGGCAGCGGCCGGGTGCGGCGCTGCTTGCCTCGGAGATCGGGAGCCGGTGGGAAGCAGCCGGCGGCGGAGGAGGATGTGGGAAAGGAAGATTGGCACGGGCAGAGAGAAAGATGCGAGCAGTTGGGCGAGCGCATTTAAAGAACAGACGGGTGGGAGGTATGGGTCCCACCTGTCATTGAGACACTACATTTGTTAGTAATATTTTTCGCCTGCATAATTGTTGGTTATGGGATCAGAGCGTGGGGCCCACTTGAATGTGAATCTGGGTGCGTGCGGTTGGTGGGCAATGTAGGGCGATGGACTCCGGCGGCCAAAGCGTTTGGCACGGCGAGTATTATTCGAGGAGTGGTGATTTTTGCAGCGATTAGTTTTGGTAGATGTCTCTTGTTTGACCAATCATTTGGATTAGGTGGTACTAGTAGAAACTCCATTTGGTGTATTGGAGTGTCCATGACGTAAGAGTTACTACTACTATCTGGAGAAATAGTAGTCTCTCTCTCGTGACACCTCGAAATTAATCTCTCTCTCTCT